AATTAAACGAAAAATAATAAGAAAAAAGGACACAAGCCTATAAAAACTTTATTATATTCAAAGGTAAGAAAACAATATAAAAATCAAGCAATTATTACAATTGCGCAAAACGGTAAAGTTACCATTAAAATTTTATACATCTTCCAATCCATAAAATTCGTCGTCTTCGTTATCAAAACTCTTATACTCATTTTCAATACTACTATCATCGTCGTTAATAATTAAATGTATTCTCTATGCAAGCGCAGATTCACAAATTCTATTTTGTGAGAGGTTAATCAAATTTAACCAGTAGATCGCTTTTTCATGTCATTTTTTTTTTAAATCTCTTCTTTGGTGACTCGCTACATGTGAAACAAAAAATATTTCATTGGAAAATTTACCCATATTTGGTTATATTTTTGTAATGTGATCTGAATGAAATTTTAAAATTAATCCTGTAAATAAACATAACTAATTAAGTATAAATAATTCTTTACTTATTTAAAAAAAAATTTAAACTCAACATCGAGAAAAGAACATTTTCAAGAAGCAAAGACTGTACGCCAACGGACGACAATTCAGGAGCAACGCTGAGTTGTGGGAAGCAATTCTTGACATATCTCGCGGCATTACAGCAGATGACATCCTACAATTAACAAATTCTATGTATCGTCGACTTCTTCAAGTAATTTCAAAACAGGTAAAGCACATTCCCTATTAATTTGTTTAAAACTGTGCCTTTGTTTGTATCTGTTATTATTTGTTTGATTATCTTATTTATTAGCTTCTTTTGATCATAAACATTCACGTGCAACATTAATAAACTTTTTGTTTGCTCAATTCTGGGAATTTTACTAAACCTTTCTAATAATTTGGCACGCACAAATCACCGTGCTGATAATAAATATGGCGCCAGTTTGTTTACATTGCGTAGATCAGTACAAAAATTTCAGTGATTGCTCAGATCAGTGTTGCCAACATTGGGTGAAAATTTTGTGTGAATTGATTGGACGGTTTTTGAAATATTAGAAAAAAGTTATCTCGATAATAATTGGCACGCAGTGTATTTTCAGGGTCATGTTGAAAATGTAAAGTCCTTGGTTATAGAATGTTTTATCCCATTTAATTTTAAGCCAAATAACTGCAGATATTTCAATTATAAATTTTATGAGGCTGTGCTATAAGGCTTTTGTAGTGAGTGCGAAGTAATAATAACTCTCATTTACTCACTCACTTCAAATTCAAAGGACTGAGGATGAAGAAGGAAAGAAATTCGTGAGCCTATGTGAAATTGTTTTTGAACCAAGAACCTTTCCTTCACAGAATTTAGCCGGTCAGCCAAGAAAAAGAAGGAAATAATTTCGTCAGCCTACGCTAAATTTATTTTGATATAATTTAGAAGAGTGTCCGAAGTCATGTGAATGGTTTCGTTTCAGTTCCTCGCGATCAGCGTTGAAGTTCTCCCCAGTGTAGAATTACTCACCAATTATATTATCAGTCTCTAACCAGCATGCTGCACTTCAAAGAAGTTTCTCTTAGCAATCCAAGAAACTATCTCTCTCTGTCTACTATTGAATGTATATAAACAATATATCCCATGGATGAGCAACGAACTCTTACTTTTGTCTTAAACAGTTTTTTTTAATATTATTTTGTGTCAGATTATTTAATCTGTTATATGAACATTTCCTCTTCATGACAATATACCAAAACTACGGACTTTAAGAATTTCAAGTTATTTTCCCGAAACGAGCAACTGACACAATTCCAAGCGTGTAAATTCGTAAATAAATTCCTTATCTTCGTTTTATTAAAATTACCCGCGTGCTTCCTCGTCATTCTCTCTATTAATTTTCTTGGTGTGTGTAAATCAACTGTTCATTCTAGTCCCACCCAACTACACTTTCACTGATCACTGAAATGAAATTCGAACTCACCAATGTTAAACCTAAACTTCATCTTTCCTCAAAAAATTCTAACGATTTGGAAAAAAATATCTTGTGCCATTATTTATCATGCCAAACACCAACTTTCAAATTGAGTGCAATACCACGGTCCCAGTGTCCTGGGTATGACGATAAACTACATCCGCGTCCTAGGTATGACGATAAAATACATCAGCGTCCTGGATAAGGCGATAAACTACGTCCAACAGCGATCAGGAGGTTTTGAGGAGCGTGGAACCTCCTCTTAATTGCTGGTGTTCCCAGGTCCACCCTGACCCGGTGTGGTAGCACCTGTTAGTGTCTCAGCTATGGGCAAATAGTTAACACCCAGACTACATCCGCGTCCTGGGCAAGACGATAAACTACGTCCAAAAGCAAGGCCTCTGATAATACGTTTTTGAAAAAATAGTATTACCAGCTATACGATTTTGAAAAAATAAGATTACTAGCTATACGTTTTTGAAAAATAATATTACCAGCTATACATTTTTTAGGAAAAAAATATTAACAGAAATAGATTTTTGACAAAACCAAAATATTACCAGGAAAAAAAAAGTTGTCGGCATTAAATGACCCATTGAGGTTGATATGCCATAGAACAAAACAACCCAAACCAAACCACGGTCCCAAAATCGACCTGCCCTAATGAATCATATGCAATATGGGTGAATAATTATACTAGGAAAAAAACTAAATACAATGTGTTTAAATACAAACGAGAGACGTCATAATGCAAACGTAAAATGAAAGATAATCTTCTTAACACTATGAACAAAAGATTGGACCTCGTTTCTTAAACCAAACGGCATCATGGTGAATTCGAATAAACCGAAATGGGTTGTCTTTGATATATCGCTTTCTTCGACAGGGATTTGGTAGTACTCAAGAAGTACTATCAAGTCTGGTAAAAATTTGCATGCCCTTTAATCCCACCACAAAATCATGTATATGAGGGATAGGATATCAATCTTGGACTGCTAACGCGTTTAGTCGTCGAAAATCGCCACACGAACGACAAAAGGAGAATCTGCTTTCGGTACCATGTGCAACGGGGATGCCCGCTGGCTCTTGGAAAGTCGAATTATTCCTAACTGCGGCATGTGCTGAAATTCATCCTTTGCCATCTTGTATTTTGCCTGGCTTTATCTCCGTGGGGTAGAATGAATCGGTTGACTTGTCGTTTGAATGCAGCGTTTAGCAGTGTGTAGTGGTGTGTCAGTATATTTGAACTGAAATTTACGAAGAATTTTGAGAAAAATCTTGTTGTCCGGTAGTGCTGAGCTGATATCACTTGAAAGATATCGGAAAGGTGTTCCATGGATTTTTGGTTGGGTTTCGTTCTCTGTCAGTGTCTTGGTAGCTATGTTCACTGATAGATTAAGATGTATGAGGAAGTCTGTTCCTAGTATAGGTGTCTTCACATCTGCTTGTATAAAAATCCACGAAAAACTCAGTCGGATAACAAAACTTAATGTAAGTTATTTTCCACTATATGAGTCAATTTTTGTACCGTTTGCTGCTTGGTGTTTATACAACGTTGGTGTTAAATTTTTCTGGTGTAGAAGGGGTAAAACTAATTTCGGCACCTGCGTCGACTAAAAATTCATATCCGCGACACGAGTCACGAATGTAAAATAGACGACTTTTCTTCGAATATCCGGACGCGGTGGTCGTCATCACTGATCGGAATATACCTTTTCATGGTTCGGTGGTACAAATACACAAGGTTTGTGCACTTTTGAGCATTAGTAGCAAATTTATGATGATACCAACATATTCCTGTATCGCGTACGCGGAATTTTGTACTATGTCGGCTGCTAAGTCTATTTCAGCTGGAATGTCGCCTGTGATAACGCGGGATATATCCGGATCTCATTAACATGGCCTGCACTCTCTCGGTAAGATTAGCTATGGCCGACAGTAGTTGATGGATTTAGTCCGTTTGTACGTTAATAGGATTCTGGATGACGTTGACGTTGTGTGTGCCAGCGTTTTCGAAAATCTTGTCAGTGATTCTTGTCAGTTTATACAAGTTGGTATATTTCAACAAAAGATGTTGATATTGGATCACGTGGCTAGGCAGTTTGTTCAGCCATAGTCACCGGAAAATATTCTTGGGCAAAATGTGAAACTTGAGAAGACTCCTTATGTGCCTCAGGAGATGAGAAAGGGGCCTCTTTTCCAACGGAGATATTGCTAAACAGATTTGACAATTTCTTTTCTTCGAACTCGCCAGTCCCGTGTAATATTGTTTGTTTCTGCATGTCGCATGGATTCTCCTCAGGCACTGCATTCAGCAAGTCGAGAAATTCGCGGGCGACATCCATTTGCAGTTTTTCAACAACGGACGCGAATTTTGTCTTTTGCAAAATTAACTGTTATATTCCGTGCTAATAGGAATATGGAATAGACAAACACGGTGGATAAAGAGTAACAGGTTTATTGTAGAAACCAGTACAACAAGCAAGGAAGTAATAGTTATGCGCTCAGTCGTCGCAAGTCAGTACAATTGTGTGCGTGCTGTGATCGGAAGGCCGCTGTTTCTCGCAGATTCCAGCTTGACGCTATTTAGCAACTGCCCCACACAGTCACATGTGGCACAAGGCCAAATTTAAAGTGGGGTTCCCGAGCCTGGTGGCTCGGCCAAAAAATCCCCGTAAACCCCGCATAAACGGGGTCGGGCCTGTCTACCTCCCCGGACAAAACTCTGCCCTTCGGCATAGCCTCGTTCGGGTTGCTCTCTGCCCGAAGGCAGAGAGTTCGACTAGCGCAGCTGGGAAATATCCCAGCTCGACTCTGCTGTCCGCTGTCCTAATGGATACTTATAGGACGTTACCACCTATAGTGCCGCCACTTATGGGTGTGGCAGGTTATTCCATTACATTAACGTTCTTTTGGAAACTAGTGTAATATCCCTTTACAAAGAGTCTTTTTTATTAAATATATATCCAGGAGAACACCTCATCGGTCGGTCATGACTTTGTTACGGGCTTCAACACTTTTAATAAGATTTTATATACTTCTGGTACATTTAACCGGCAGACATTTTGGTGGTTTTGTCTAAGTTAAAAGCTTGCGGTTATATCACGTTGAAAAACCGGTTGTTGTATGATCACCGAAGTTAAGAAAAGGTGAGCTTGGTCAGTACCTAGATGGGTAACCACTTGGGAATAACAGGTGCTGTAAGCTTGGATGTTCTATGACTTAAGATAAGACCTAAACAAGTTCTATGTCTTAAGATAAGACTAAAGTAAGTCATATGTCTTAAGACTAAAATACGTTCTAAGACTTAAAATAAAACTAAAATAAGTCCTACGTCTTAAGATTAAAATACGTTCTAAGACTTAAAATAAGACTAAAATAAATCTTATGTCTTAAGACTAAAATACGTTCTAAGACTTAAAATAAAACTAAAATAAGATTTATGTCTTAAGACTAAAATACGTTCTAAGACTTAAACTAAAACTAAAATAAATCCTATGTCTTAAGACTAAAATACGTTCTAAGACTTAAAATAAAACTAAAATAAGTTCTTGTCTTTAGACTAAGGTACGTTCTAAGACTTAAAATAAGACTAAAATACGTACTATGACTTAAAATAAAATCTATGACGTATTTTAAGACATAGAACTTCTAAACTTACATTACCGAGCCTGTTATTCCCTAGCAGTCACCCATCTAAGTACTAACCAGGCTTGACGTTTCTTAACTTCGGTGATCATATGACAACCGGTTTTTTTTTTCAACGTGATATAACCGCAAGCTTAATATTAAAATAAATGTAAGTTAAATTTAAGTATTATTTCAAAAATGCAATCGCCTTCATTTTCAACAAATATTCGAAATCAAATTTTTAAAAATCTGGGTTTTTTTCTCCGAAAATTTTGATTATCGAAATATTGGCTTTGAATTTTACTTAACAAAACGCTTAGACACAATACTCTGGTTATTAAACACAAACATAATATATCCAAAGAAGAATCAGCAATATTATAATATTACTGGTCCTGACCTGCCAACTCGCCTGCAGTTACTTTCCCACCGTCGTATTGTAGCTTCCCTGAGCCTTATCTGTAAATACTTTCATGGTAATTGTTCTGCTGTACTTTCCTGTATATTTTAAAAGTTGTTATTTTTATTCCCAACACCGCACAGACAAATTGTACATATGGGAACTAGCTAGGACTATAGAGAGACTTGGAGGTATTATGGTGACTGTAGTAAGAATAGTAGGGTATCTCTAGGTGGGTGTAATGGTTAAAAAGCTTGTCTCGCTAGAACAAGTGTTACTGAGTAGTGAGTTCGATCCTCACTGGGTGCCCCATACTTTCGGCCTTGTGCCACATCTGAGCTACGCTTGGAAAATCACTATATTTGGGCACCTCGAGGTGGTGTAATGGTTAGCAAGCTTTTCTCGCTAGAACAATTACGACTGAGTAGTGAGTTCGATCCTCACTGGGTGCCCCATAGTTTCGGCCTTGTGCCACATCCGAGCTACGCTTCGAAAATCGCTAGGAAGAATGCATTGTTTTGGTTTTAGGAATACTGTGGTATGTTTGGATCAGTCATTGTGGCTAGCTAAGTTTAAGAGAAGACAGATTAAAGACCAGCCTTTCCCTATCCACCCCCTTTTGGCCTCGTGCCACATTTTTGCATTTTCAAAATATATATTACCTTCCTCTTTGGAACAGGCTTTATGAATTTAAGTGTAGTACTAGATTGATGTGATATACTGTAAGAGACCGAGCGTGTGAGCAACGATGATGTCTTAGGTTGCAAACAAGGAGGGGGCTTATACTTAATATCAGGAAGAGGCAGCTGAAGTTTCTGGGACACATAATGAGAAAGAAGGGCCTGGAGAATCTGATACTCACAAGTCGAATAGAAAGAAAGAGAGACGAGGAAAAACAACACGTGAAATACCTGGCGGACTTAGGCAGATGGATGACAGAACGTGGTCTGGGGAGGTGGCAGAGGGAAAGAACTTGTTGAGAGCTGCAGGGGATAGAGGGAGGTGGAGAGCCATGATCGTCTACGTCCTGAAAGCACATGACACATAAAAAGGAGGAGGATACAGAAAGTGAGGTATTTGCATCTGTATTTTCTAGGTGGATGCAGAAAGTGAGGTAACCAAGAGTGAAAAGCGCCTGAGCAGTTACGATTAGCTGACCCTGAAGGAAACAGAGACAAGAAAAGGCATGAGATGGTATTTATCAATCCACCCACGGGGATCGAATGCGGCACAAGGCCTTTTTAATGCGGGTATCTCTGAGCTCGTAGGCCCAGCCAAAAATAAATAACCATCCAAACCCGCCGAGGCGGGCCAGTTCCGTCAACCTCCCCCAACGAAACCCTACCCTTCGGCGGAGCTTCGTCCGGGTTCCTCTCTGCAAGCAGAGAGTTCGACAGACACCCGACCCGGCAGCTCACAAATCGCAGATACTACACTTTGATCCTAGCCACCGGGCCGAGCGGGTATTCTTATGAACAGGATATACATCCGGGACGTTAGTTTACCATTTCGAAGGACATGGACACATAAAAAGAAAGACTAGATCGACGGTAAGGTCTCATCGTTTTACAGCTGATTTGGCTAGATGTAACGATAAGTTCTATACTAACAATTTTTTTTATTGCACTTCTCGCTTGTGGAACTCTCTTTAGGTTTCTTTCTTCCCAGTCAACTTTGATCTTCAAAAATTTAAAAGCAATGTTAATCGTTGTCTACTGTCTTCTTATTTCTTTTTATTTTAATGTTCTCTCCCTTAATTGTTTTTTTTTTCTTTTTTATACTCTATGACTTAGTAATCCCTTGCGTCTTAATAGCTTTACACTCTTGCTAAGGGCGAAATGATTTTTAAAAAATATAAACAAATAAATCAGTAATTACGAAACAGTGAATTTCCGATATGATTTCACATCTACTTGACTGTAAATAAAAGACTCATATTTTTGAATTACAAAACAGAAGCTATAGAAAATATGTAACCTCCAAGTTGTTTTTAGGTATCTTATGCAACTGTTTGGAGGTCATACGTTAAATGCGTGACAACAAAGAAAGGTGAGTAATGAAGGTAGCAATGAAGAAAACAGGAATTAACTATGTTTATTTGTGTTTGTAGTTGCTTGTTTTTTAACCTCTATGTCTTTTCTCTCTCTCTCTCTCTCTCTCTATATATATATATATATATATATATATATATATATATACTAGCAGTAGATCCCGGCGTTGCCCGGGAATGTAACAGTAAGAGATAGATCAAGTATCGACCATCATAAAGACTGAAAAATAAAATTGACAAAGATTATTGTTTAAGGTTGACGGACACGCATGTCTTAATTAGATTTTTTTTTTTTTTGAATTGGTCAAACCCAAACTCAAACAAAAACATTGTTTTCAGTCATTATGAGTCTACCGATTAAATAGAATTTTATTATAAACAATTGTCTTGTAAATGGAATTTTTAAAGCATTCTGAATGTAAAAATAAAGAAAAAAGGGTGCAAGACAATAAGAAACACTACCTGCCAAAAAAAAGTAAAGTTTTGCTGAAATCGGTTGAAGAATGTAGGAAATTCGATCCCATATATAAACGAACACACACACACAAACAAACAACCTGGGTTTTATAATAAGTATAACTCGATATGAGTTGTCCCCCTTTCATTCTCGCGATGCCTCTTAATAATGTTTTCAAATTGATTTCGTGCAAAAACAATTGTGTTTTTCCAATTTTTGGCGCTGTCAGAACCACCGCAAGGTAATTTTACGTAGTCCTGTGAAGTTTTGTTGAAATCGGTTGAAAAATGTAGGAAATCCGATCCAATATATAAACGTACACACACACACACACACACACACACACAACCTGGGTTTTATAATAAGTATGATATGCGTGTGGGTGTGCTACAAGAGATGGTGAAATCGGGATGTTCTGAATTTGTTTATTTACAAACTTTGTAGATAGCGTGTTAGACCATAGGATTACTAATTTTGTGCTGTTGTTAAAAGTGCTATCAGTGATGTTTATTTGGGGGGGGGATTTGTGGACTTCTAACATCAATAAAACAATCAATAATAAATTCTAAAAGTTAACGAACACTATAAGTAGCTCCCAAACTGCATCCGGATCCACAAATATTCCCACACAAAAGCCGCTAGAATAATTTGAAACATAACCGTTATCGGCCACCAAAATAACCGTTAGAATAATACAATAGAATACCCACAATGCATCACTGACCTGTATATATAAATAGTCAAGCAAAACACAACACATATGGCCTAACGATTGTATATAAGTATCTTGCATCTTGCACATTTAGAAATCTACGATTCGTCCGTGCATTGAATATTGTTGCCGTCATATCTGGTCCGGTGCCCCTGTTTTATATCTCGATATTCTCGAGAAAAGCCAAACAAGAGTCTCTAATGTTATCGGTCTTGACCCAGCAACTCGTCTTCCGTAAGTTTTCTACCGCCGTGACGTGGCTTCCTTCTGTCTTTTCTGTAAATTTTTTCGTGTTAGTGGTTCTAACGAACTCTCCTCGTTACCGCGATCGCATAAATTTATGCGTACTACTAGATTGGCTACTAGCTCTCATCGTTTTATTGTTGAATTCGCTAGATGTAACCGTAAGTTCTACTCTAAGAGTTTCTTCTCTCGCACTTTTCGCCTGTCTGACTCTCTCCCCGTTTTTTGCCTCATTGCCACCTACAATCTCAAAAAAATTTAATTACAAACATTCAATCACCATCTTGTGTCTTTCTGAATTCTGTTCCTTTGTTCCCATTAAAATCTCCTCATTCTCTTCCATTCCCATTTGCCTCTTGCGTCTTAGTGGCATTATAGCCTTGCTTGGCGTGATGTAATTAAAAACAAACAAAAAATCAATAGTAATCGTTCTAAGTAACGAGGTTAATTGAAATAAGTGCTGTCTCATTTGTTGCACGATATATATTCGAACAGCAGGACACCTCGAGGCGGTGTAATGGTTAGCAAGCTTGTCTCGCTAGAACAGTGAGTAGTGAGTTCGATCCTCACTGGGTGCCACATACTTTCGGCTTTGTGCCACATCTAAGCTACGCTTGGAAAATCGTTGTTAGCAAGCTTGTCTCGCTAGAACAATTACGACTGAGTAATGAGTTCGATCCTCACCGGGTGCCCCATACGTTCGGCCTTGTGCCACATCTAAGTTACTCTTGGGGGCACATCGAGGCGGTGTAATGATTAACAAGCTTGTCTCGCTAGAACAGTTACGACTAAGTAGTGAGTTCGATCCTCACTGGGTGCCACATACTTTAGGACTTGTGCTACACCTAAGCTATGCTTGGAATATCGCTATATTCGAACAGCAGGGATACCATGACGCGCCGCATAGCATTATTGGAGTTTGGTGTACTTTTGCACAGCTTGGGATAGTTTTTACGACGAATAATGGTGTCATGTTGATATATAAACAAACAAAAGAAAGATATACAAAGGATATATGTTTTTAGATTTGAATTTATTGACCGGACTAGATATTGAACGTGACCTGAATTATTCAAAAAGAATAAAATGAATGCTAAAATAGGACATTTTTTTTTTTAAATAGAAGACAATCAGACTAACAAAGAGAAACAGGATGTAATAAATATTAGAAAACAATAGTTGTTCCCTAATAGGCTTAAGACTAGAAATAATTTTCATAGAAACGTAATTTTTTTTTTTTGTTTTTTTTGTAATGCCATTTGTGATGTTCGCCAATGATGACTCACCAT